AGAATGACCTTTATTTCTTATTGATAAAAACATCTGAAAATTTCTGTATGTTTAGTCTAAAAAATTTATAACAGCTTTGTTGAGCTTTAATTCATTTACTATACAGTTCACCTATTTAATGTTTAAAATTTAGTCGTTCTTAGGCTATTCAGAGATGAATATTTTCCTCATCCTTTTAACAGACACTCCTCATTTCTACCCAATCCCTCCAGCCCTTGGCAGTTGCTAATCTGCTTTGTCTCTGGATTTGTCTTTTCCAGACATTTCACATAGATCAAATCTTACCTGGAGTGGTCATTTGTGATGGATTTCTTTCATTTAACCAAAAGGTTTCAAGATTTATCCATGTCTTACTCTTGGTTTTTCATCCCTGTCTGGATGGTGCAGAATCCTGTATATGATCTATCTCCCACCTCTGGAATAAATAGTGTGTGGATAGATTTTTGAAGAGCAGTGATACAGAAGTACTCCTAAACCAAGTGTCTCAAGTCTTCAGAGGTGCTTCTGTTGCAATCACCTAAAATAGATGATTTTTGATCCCTGTGTTATTTTCTGATGTTGCAGAACAAATGATCCCCAAACCCAGAACTGCAGAAACCCCTGTCTCTGATCTCATGGCTTCTGTGGGTTGCTGGGCTCCACTATGGGCCTCTGTGTTATTTTCTGATGCTGCAGAACAAATGATCCCCAAACCCAGAACTGCAGAAACCCCTGTCTCTGATCTCATGGCTTCTGTGGGTTGCTGGGCTCCACTATGGGCCTCTGTGTTATTTTCTGACGTTGCAGAACAAATGATCCCCAAACCCAGAACTGCAGAAACCCCTGTCTCTGATCTCATGGCTTCTGTGGGTTGCTGGGCTCCACTATGGGCCTCTCACATGGCTGAGTCCCCTTAGGGCTTGACGAGGAAGGGCACATGCACCTCCCCGCTTGCTTGTCAGTCAGATTCATTTCCCACAGGCCTCATGTGGTTTCTTCTGGGTTGTTATCAGAAGCCATGCCAGGTTCCTTGCCATGTTGCTTCCCCACAGAGCATTTCACAGCGTGTCACCTGACTTCAAAGTGAGAAGGCCAGAGGATGAGAGTGTTCACCTCAACTGAAGACACAGCTTCTCATAATCTAAGCACAGAAGTAAGGTCCCCCAACTGCTGGCTGTGTTCTCTTGTGACAGAAAAATCACTCGCTTCACCATGTTCTCAAGGGAGAAGACTCCACAGGGTGTAGATACAGGAGCACGGATGTTGGGGGCCATGTGGGAAGTCGGCCTGTCACAATCTCCTGTCCTTTGGCGATCATGGCAGTCACTGGTGTCAGAAAAGTATATTGTGGGGGCCAGGGACTTGGCTCAGTGGTTCAGCCACCTGCCTCGAAAGCACAAGGACCTGAGTTTGATCCCTGGTACCAAAAAAAAAAAAAAAAAAAAGTATATTGTAGAGCTCCTTGGCTGTGGAGGAGCTGTGGTAAAAACACATCTGAAGTGATATAGCAGTGTGATGAAAGTCCCTCAAGTAGTTATGCTAATCATTTGTCAGCTACTCCCTTGGGAGACTTCTACTAAACTGATAGATCTCACACTCCCACCCCTCTGCCTGTGGTGTCTCAGTCACTTTGGGCTGCTATACAGCATTATCGTAGCCTGGGTGGCTTAAATAGCAGTCATGTATTTCTCACAGTTCTGGAGGCCAGCACGCTTGGGTCTCGGTGAGGGCCCAGACATCTGTGCCTCCTCCTTTTACCAGGGTATTAGTTCCTTTGGGAGATTCCACCCTGAGGACCTCATCTACACCCAGCTACCTTCCAAAGCCTCCAGATAATATCCCACTGAGGATGAGGGCTTCCACACATGGCTGTGCGAGGACACAAAGCATTCACTCCACAGCAGATGGTATGATGGCATTGTGACAAAATAATCCCTCCTGTTTCCTCCGCCCCGCACCTCTCCCCCGTCCTTGGCTGTGAATCCTGCTGACAGTTGCTATTCTTTCCTCTCCTTTTCTTCTCTGTTTGTTTTCATAGAACTTTGCTATGCCTGTTCAGTTCTTTAGGTCTTATTTTTGAAATCTGTTCCCTCGGGTTCTTGTGACCCTCCGTTTTTTTTCTGGAGACACGTCGCCCTTTGTTCGCACACAGGGTGCCCTGAGTTACCAGTGGAATGGAGACAGTGTCTCGAGACCATCTTTCATGATTCAGTAAACCACAGATCTCTCAGGGAGCTGCTGTCTTCTTTATTTGTTCAACACTCTGACTTGGGAGTGAGAATGGAGCCTCAGGACAGAAGCTCTCAGCTCCTGTGCTGGCCCTTCTTGCCCGGTGTCCTCCTTTGCCAAGTGTCTCTGAGCCAGCCAGGCCGGAACGCCGTGCCTGCAGGTCCAGCTCTGGGGACATGGGGCAGGGTCTCCCATCTCTTCCCTTTCACTTGAGGGTCGGTGTTGTCCCCTTTATGGAACAGCTGTGACCTGCTGCCCCCAGGACACTTGTCCCACTGTGGGACATATAGTGAGGGGCTTGCTTCTTTGCGTGAGTAAGGGTCTTAGTATTCATGTACTCGGACTTTTCTTCACAAGGGAGCTAATAAGTATGGATAAATATTTATAATTTGCCAGAACAGTAGTATCAAGGCGAAGAGGAGAGGGGAAGGCCAAGAGGGGAGGTAAAAAACAATCAAGGTGTGACAATATGTATGTGTACCAGTTCCCCAGGAGGAGTGCGGTTCTCATGCACCACAAATACATACCAATTTTAAAACATCTAGGAAGAAAAAGAAGTCGGATTGCAGCCTGCAGTACGCTGTGAGTGGTGATGACGTGAAGGGCATTGAGAGGAAACAGGGAGACACCCTGGCCTGTGCCTTCACGCCTGGCTTGGTTCCGGTTCTGCTCTATGATGATGACACCCACCCTTCGCTCCCCTCCCCTCCTCTCCCCCTTCCCCTCCCTCCCTCCTTTCTTCCCTCCCTTCCCCCTCCCTTCCTGAGGTGCCTCTTTCTGTGTTCCTGTGTGTAGAAAATTCTAGGCCATAGCAGGAGGACCTGTTGTAGGGCACAGCTGTCACCCTTGCCAGTATCATTAGTGATTGTTGAGAGTGAAGACTGTGGGCTGGGACAATGGATAAACTAATTATTTACTACCTGGTGTAGGTGCACACTTGACAGTGGAAGGCATCGTAAGGAAGGCAGTGATAGTGGATGTGCGAGTGGTGGACGTTACCAGAGATGGGAGAGATGTCAACCTGTTAACACTGTCAACAGTTAACACTGTGCCCTGTCTCTGCCTCCTTCTCTCCCTCTCTCCCTCTCTCCCTCTCTCCCTCCTTCCCTCCTTCCCTCCTTCCCTCCCTTCCTACCTCCCTACCTTCCAACTCTTCTCTAAGTTCCTTGACTTTTGCTTTTTGGGTATGAAAATAATTTGAGCCAAACCTGGTATTCTACTACAGAGAATAGGGTGATAAGGTGAAATTGTGTCCTTTGCTTCCAGCAGATAAAGGCCCATAGAGTATTTCACATATTTAGAAAGTACACAGAATAATAGGACAGAACACTCAGGCCTACTGCCCAGGGATATTGTGCTGGCATTTCATTTTGTTACTTTTACCTCCAATTTTAAAGAAATTATCCATTTAAAGATTTATTTATCCACTTACAATGTTGTATTGATGGAAACACTGATTATTTGCGACTCTCTACTTTTATAAACATGCCACGATGAGTGCTTCCTTGTGTGCACGGGCAAGAGTTTTTGTAGCCATAGATAATCGTTAGCACAAGCTTTTGGGTAGTAAGTAAAGCCATCTGTAATATGTTGACCAGGAAATCTTGCAGTCACTTTTAATAATACACACAAAAGCTTTAGTTTAGGAACAGATGCTTTTTGTGATGATCATTCCCATGGGAGGATGCTCTCTCATGCTGCATGCTGCATCCTGTTGGTTTAATGGTAGTATAGGGTAGGCTGCTTCTCAGAATGTACACTTGCAGGACTATGAGGCAAACTGGTGGGATATTGGAATTAGCAGCAAAAATTGCTTTCACGTGATAATTAAAAAAAAACCATTACATACTCATTTTTTTGGTGATATTTTTATTTCTCTGTAGGGGTAATCAGCCAAACCCATATTTATTGTTCTTTGTGCTGTATTAATTTCTGAGCAAGAATTTTTTAAAAGCTTTTTCTTTAATGGAAAACGTTTAATCACACGAGTAGAGAAAATAGTACCATGAACACCCTGTACACATTACCCAGCTCCAACACAGTAGAGTTTCCTCTGAGCAAGTTTTTTTAGTTTGTCTTTTCACACAAGCTCCTACTACATTGCCTAGGCTGGCCCCAAACACCTGGACTGGAGTGATCTTTCAGCCTCAGTCTCCTGAGTAGTTGAAACCATAGGCATGCGGTCCCACATTGGGCTTTGTTTTTCTTCTGGTACTGAGTATTGAGCACAGGGCCTTTGCACTGAGTTGCATTTCCAGCCACCTGGCCCTTCTTTTGAGATGGTCTTGGTAAGTCATTAAGTTGCCCAGGTTGGCTTTGAACCTGGCATTCTCCTGCCACTGTGCCAGATCACTCACTTAGGCTTTTGAGCAAGATTTTTTAACTACAGTGTTGATACTTGCATTTAAAATTATCGTATTTGGAGTAACTCAAAACATTAGTAACACCCACTTGAAGCATTTTTTCAGTAGTCTTATGAGGTATGTGGTGGGGCTTATTATTCTTAGACTTCAGAGTTACCCTTTGGATGCCATTTTACCGAGTTCAGTGTATTGTGGGTTTCTTCTCTCAGGTTTCTCAGGCCAGTCTGCTCGCTGATAGGAAGATTGTTCTTGCGCTTTGAAGTGCGACATAAGCCTTTAAATGCTTTCTTGCAAAAAGTCTGGACCCTGTTGCAGACACTGAGATGACTGCATTTTCAGAACGTCCCCACTCCCTGCCTGCTGCTGAGCCTGGAGTGCACACGCTGGCCTTCTGGCCCGAGCTGCGTCTCATGCCTGTTTCTCCTGCAGGTCGCAGTGGTCATGGGCTCCTGCACGGCAGGCGGTGCCTACGTGCCCGCGATGGCCGACGAGAACATCATCGTGCGCAAGCAGGGGACCATTTTCTTGGCAGGACCCCCCCTGGTAAGAATATAACCTCGACAGGCTGATTGACATTAAATATACATGACATAATGGTGCAGTAACACATGCTTAGAATTTACTGTTTTAATAATTCCCAAGTATGCAGTTCTGTGGCATAGGGACATTGATTGCATTATTGTGCACCCGTCAACACTGCCCATCTCCAGAACTGACCCCTGTTCCTGCTACCTCTGGCCCGGGACCCAGCGTTCTCCCTGCTGCTCTCCGAGTCTGACTTGAATAGAACCAGCCAGCATTGGACCTTGTGTGACTGACTGGTTCCCTTAGCATAAGGTCCTCAAGGGTTGTCCGTGTAGTAGCAAGTGTCAGGATTTCATTCCTTTTTCAGATTGACTAGTATGCTATGTATCTCTGTACCACATCTTGTTTATCTGTCCATCTGTCCTTCATTGACTATTTGGGTTGCTTCCATCTGGGTCTATTGTGAATAATGCTATGAATATGAGTATATAAAGATCTGTTTGAGTCCCTACTTTCATTTCTTTTGGATCTATAACCAGGAGTGATTGCTGGATTCTATAGTATTCTATGTTTAATTTTTTATTTAAAAAATTTTTTTGGTACCAGGGATTGAACTCGGGACCTTGTGCTTGAGAGGCAGGCGGCAGCACCACTGAGCTAAATCCCTGGCCATCTGTGTTTAATTTTTAAGGATCACTTTATTTGTGTTTGTAGCTGAATAATAGTCCACTGTGTAGGTGTGTGCCTTGGTTGATGGGCATTTAATAGTTTCTTCTTTTTGACTGTTGTGAATAGGCACGCTCTGACTGTTTACTTAACAAGTTTTTGTATGGCCCTGATTTCATTTCTATACCCACTAGTAGAATTGCCTGTTATGTGGTAACTGAGTTTACCATTTGGGGAAATTGCCACACTATGCAAAGCATGTTTACATTCTCACCATCAGCATGAGGGTCCTGATAGCCCCACATCCTCACGGATACTTGTTACTGTGTGTCTGTCTGATTACAGCCATCCTGGTGGGGTGAGATCCTTTCTCATTGGGGTCACTTTTTTTTGTACTAGTGATTGAACCCAGGGATGTTCTACCACTGAGTTGTATCCCTAACCCTTTTTAATTTTTTTTTTTTTTTTTTTTT